ATGAATAAACTTAAATGTACCTGATGTGGGACATAATGGTCCAAAACTGATGACCCTGACCTTGAATGAGGAGAAGTCCATGAAAGCACTTGACCACCACCCTGCACTGTGTCTTTCCAATCCACAGTCACTCCATGAGTGTTAGGAGAAAAATGGATTGGACTTCAACTGAATCACAGATGTAGTCTGAGAATGAAGCAAGGAGGGAGAATGTGGTGGCAAGGCAGACAGAGGGGACCAGCTCTTTCAGACCAGTCACATTAGATTCCTACATGACCCTCAGTCATAGCTGCCTTCATTACGTGAAAGAGATGTAAATTAACGACAGGAAGTGCCCACCTCCTAACACCACTTGGCCACAGTTATAGAACAATTTGGATCAAAATCAGGTACGTTTCCAAGTTCATCTGGACTTGCCAAGTAGCCTTAAGAGTTTTTCACAGATTGTTCTGGGATGGTAACATAAGGTGCAGAGACGGGGCCAACCCCATTTTTAGAGGCTGCCTGCTACCTTGGCTCTGTAACATGTGCCAAGTGGCTGGCCTGTGGCTCTGGGGTTGCTGGTGGGAGCAGTGTCTGGAAGGACAGGACGGTTGTATGACTAACGGTTCCAACCAGCATCAGAGCATGAAAGAAAGCAAAGACTACAAAAAATTTATTGCAAGCTGAATTGAATGAATCCAAGAGAATATAGATTAAATCGATATTTAATTCAGTAGAGGTCAGTTTTAGTTAGGGAGTCATTATGACATTTCAAAGAGCAGATACGGTATTTACGGGGGCAGCATCTCAGAACTTCAGGGATATGCTATTGCTTTCTTTAGTGGCAAGCAGGGTTTGCTGTGGTTTGGCATGGGCAATTATTTTAAATAAGAATACTAAATAAAAATGTGTACAGCTACTACCTATATTAACAAGCTTCATATAAAAGCATACATTCGTTATACAGGGATGATAAGGGAACACCCCTACACCATCCCAGTGTACACTCATTCATCTGAGTTCAATTAGACCATCTTCCTTTCTAGAAGCAATTTTTTAAAGTGGATTGCTAAAATAAAAAAGCTTTCTCAGGAAGGATTAGGAGGATTCTTCATGCAGATGGAATGACAACAGGAGTACCAACTGGAACCAAATCTACCTGCTGGGAGATTTGCATATAGCCTTTTTCATGGACTTTCACTGATCACAACAAAACTACACATTTTTCTTTTCAGATACAGGGTCTTGCTATGTGGCCCAGGCTGGTCTCAAACTCCTGGGCTCACTCCCACCTCGGGCTCCTGAACACTGGGATTACAGGCACATGTCTGCGCCAGGCTTATACATTTATTAATGTGAGATCCAAAACATTCCTGTGGACTAATCCGATTGGACGGAGGACAAGAATTCTTTGTGCAATAATCCATCAGACAGAAAGCCAGAATCCACCGGAAGATGGGCACTCTGGTCACATGAGCACTGAGAAGAGTTCTTTTCCACCTAGGGAAAACACGCATTCTTCTTAAGTCTCCAGGCTTCACCTCCTCTCCCCAAAGCAGACGACTATTTTTCCCACTGCTCAAAAGAACTGAGCCACAACATAAGAATTATCTTAAGGCCTATTCCCTGTACTTTCAGCTTACCTATGGCAGCACACCTGCTGTGCCACAGAGAGCTGCCCTGTTCCTGTCCAAAGCTAACTCCATGGGCACCTGCCTCCATGAGTCTATGTTTCGTCAGCTGGCTGCAGCCCTGCCCACCCTACTCTCCCAAACCTCCCTTTTAGTCCTCATTTCTTGCCAGTGATGCCTTCCTATCTGCTTTCCTGGCCTCTGGTCAGCTGCTCCAGTGGTGCCTTCTTAATGTTCAACTTTACTTTTTGGCTTAAAAAAAAATTTGTGGCTTCCCAAATTATAAGTGGGCCATACTCCCAAATTCTTACAAAACGGATGTTATAGTTAAGCCCCCACTCACTCTTCAATTTGACCAACATTTACTGAGCAAATATAAGTATCAGGCACTGTGCTAGATAGCCTATAATGTCAGACTGCAACTGTGCTCTTCGCTCAAAAGAAACCAACATGGCGAAACCCAGTCTCTGCTAAAAATACAGAAATCAGCCGGGCGTGGTGGCAGATGCCTGTAATCCCAGCTACTTGGGAGGCTGGGGCAGAAGAATTGCTCGAACCGGGGAGGCAGAGGCTGCAGTGAGCCAAGTTCACATCACTGCACTCCAGCCTGAGTGACAGAGTGAGATTCCACCTCAAAAAAAAAAAAAAAAAAAAAAAAGCAGGATCAGATTGCTCTACAATTCAGACACCATTAATTCAGAATGTCTGTTCTTGTGTTTGTCTGACTTGATAAAGTGTTATTGTATTTCCATGGGATGAATTCACAACCTAAAAAAAAAAGACACAGAGAAGGCTGGTTCTATTAGGTTAAGTATTCAGAGAGGGGGCATTTTAAGGGAACACACCACTTTTAATTTACCACATTTAAGTTAACCACATTTAAGGGAACACAGCAGAATGAAATTGGCTTTTCCCCAGAGCAGGAATAAATAGGCCAGTCTGGCAGTGACCACGGTGACCACTCACAAAGAGGGGACTAAGCCATTACTGGGAAACACGTGAGAAGTGTAGAGCCTCTTCACTCGGGTTTTCACATGCAACTCCTGAAATAACAGGTAAAATGAAAATCGCTCCTGTTACCATTCAGGCAGACAGTGCCCGGGAGTAGAAACAAATGCCCCTCCCCAGCACAGACCTGCCTCCGATGAGAGTATCTGCAGTTGTAGAACTATATGAGCAAAAACCAGACCTCACTACCAATCCCAGTGTCACCTAGCTGACGAGCATCTGAAATTTTGCATCTGAGCAACACATGGCAGTATTATTAGCCAAACTTTAAACAGGTTTATGAGCAACTGGTTCAGAAAATCACATGTAATAAGTTCCTTAATTTCACCATACAGGCAAAGGTATATATTTTTATTAATAGAAAATCAATTTCTCCCACCTCCACTAAATAAAGATGGAGTACATAAAGATTATCAGTTTGGGCTGACCGTGGTGGCTCACACCTGTAATCCCAGCACTTTGGGAAGCTGAGGTGGGCAGATCACTTGAGGTCAGGAGTTCAAGACCAGCCTGGCCAACATGGTGAAACCCCGTCTCTACTAAAAATACCAAAATTAGCCAGGTATAGTGGTGCATGCCTGTAGTCCCAGCTACTCTACTCAGGAGGCTGAGGCAGGAGAATCACGTGAACCCAGGAGGTGGAGGCTGCAGTGAGCTGAGATCACACCACTGCACTCCAGACTGGGTGACAGAGCCAGACTCCACCACAAAAAAAAAAAAAGATTATAGGTGCCAATAATTAGCCTGCTCAGGACACCACCTGTCTCAGGTCAGCCCTGGCATTCCAATGAGAAGGAATTCTGCTCAAATAATTTCGTAACACATAAGTATTTACAATTCCCATTTAACAACAACGAAAAAAACCCTCAAGCTTCCTAACCTAAGCAATAGAAGTTGTTAGAACAACTTAACATTTGAGGAGTCACCAGTTCATTTCATAACATAAGAGCAATTTTTCCTTCCCTAGAATCTGCAAGCTAAAAGAGTTCCCTACAAATGAGATGGTGTCTGTGAAAATGCTGTGTGCAAATCCCCTCCACATGGCAGACCCTCCTGAAAAGTGTGTCAGTAAGTCCCAAATCCATACCTTGAGCTGGCTTCTTTGGGCTGAGCCAAACCTTTGCATAGTTTAATTGTTATGATAATTGATCTTCTTAAATTCCAATATTAGAATATAGAATACATTTATACCATCAATTTGGAAGCAGTCAATAGGAATAGGAAGCATTTATTAAGAGAAAGTATAACAACCTTCTCCCTTTACTTGATGGTAAATTGGACCAAATATAGGGTCCCTGGAAGGGAAAAATGATAAAGTAGAAATGACAGTGATATTCAAGATTTAACAAAACAAATCAGAGTAATTAAATGCATTGAAGACAAAATGGATGTAGTTCTTTTTGTCATTTTCTAATTTTGTTACTTGCATGTTGACAATGTATCTTTTTTCTGATGAGACTTCTAGCTAGGCCTATCCCACAGGAGACTTCTGGGGCTTCTCTCCAGAGGGGTAATCTCTTTCTATGAAAAGTTGCTTCCCTTGATGGACTATAAACTTCCCAAGGGCAGGTGTGAGTTTTGTAGTATATCCTCGATGCCCAGTGCAATGTCTGACATTATAGGCTATCTAGCACAGTGCCTGATACTTATATTTGCTCAGTAAATGTTGTAACAAGACCCGAGTTTGTAACAAGACCCGAGAGGACCTGGCTGAACAGGCCGCTCCCTTGGGAGAAACAGAGCTGGATCAAAGTCTTTTGGGACAATTATTTGACTATGTACTCCCTTGATTTTCTTAAATGTGTATTGCACAAGATTACTCAACCTCTATCATCTTCACTAATATTTTCAAAAAGTGACCTTTATAAATTAGAACCTGTAGAATTAATCATAACTCACCTATTAGTCAACTGTTTTCAACTTTTATTCCCACAATCCTTCCAAAGATATGAGCTATCATTGAGTAATAAAATTGGGTAATTTTAATCAGCTATCTCTACTTTCTCTGTCTGAGAGAAATGATAAAAATGATGAAATGGTCCACAGAGAAGCTCAAAAGGAAAGACAGCTTAAATTCAGCTATGCCTCCTATAAAGAGCTCTGAAACTTGGGTATGAATGGTGACAAACAAAGCATATTAGAATTGAAGTGTGGCAATTATAGCATTGAATTTAATACCATTTATGAAACTTCACAAGGTTGCTTATAACATTTATGTATGCTCATCTAAGTGATGTTTCTAGCCTTAAAAAAATTAGTGCTTACCACACAGGGTTCAAAAGTTTGAAACACTGCACCGTTTTCAAGAAGTTGCCATTCACTGGAAAATTGTTTCCAAACAATCACCAACAATAAGGTCATCTGATTTCATTTACTTACCTATTTATATCTGTAGGAACGCTGGGAAGTCTTAATGAACAACTTCAGGAAAATGCCACCTGGAAAAACAAATTGAACAAAGAGTTAGATTTTAAACACACATACACACACAAAGACTTAGCATGCAATTTTATATCTCATTAAAATATGTGATGTTTCAAATATTGGTTCCTAGGCAGCACACAGCTCAACTTGCATTAGAACACGGCCGCTTCCGCCCAGGAACACCAACACACAAACACAGGGTCCAAACTACTGATGAACCAGAAAATGTAAAAGGCCAGGGGGGAATGTCCAGCCTGTGAACATGTACCTAATTACATCCTTTCCTTGCCCCTCACAAGGGGACCAACTTAAAAATATAATTTGTGTCCTGGAGGATACTTTAATGAATGACCATAAAAAGACTCAAAAATCCAGAAAACGAATTAAAATAAAATATGAAATTGTGACTGAAGAAACTATCCTAGCAGCACTTTATATCCTTTTCAGTTATGCTGGTTAAGTCCTAAAGTTAAATTCACAAAGATGTCAAGACTGGGAAAGTGGAAAAAGGGCCATTTTTAGAAAAACCCTAACATAGTAAAAATAAAAGTTGAAAAGTAAGAACTTATTTAATGATTAGTTTATTTAGAAATCAAAGATTCCTTCTGGTGGTCTCAAAGTCTTTAGGGAACATTTAGAAAATTATAAGCCTACTAATACATTCACAAAACAGAGAATCCTCAAATATCTCTTCAGCATTGCTTTGAAATATTAAACAAAAATGGAACAAATTTCTAACATAAAATGTCACAATTACCATTTGTTGAAAATCTATCATGCACCTGGGACTGTTACAGGAACACATTACAACCTTTCTAGACAAAGATACGCATTAACAGATGGGGAAAATGATGTTAAAAGAAGTAGAGAACCTTCCTCAATACCACAGGATCCAGGGTTTCCAAACACGCCTTTTTCCTCCCATCAGATAATCTTGCTCTTAAAAGAATCTCTTCCATTCTCCAAAGCCTATTCGTCACCTCCCCAGATAGAAACCACATATTCCTTAATGCAAACTCTAACAGAAATTGGCTAGCAGATGACCAGCCAATTAGCTTTTTCTTTTAGGACATTTAAAAGTAATTTCTTCATTTAAAAATGATTAGGCTTATGTTATTTAGGACTACAAGGTAACAGTGGATATGAGTAAATATTTAGAAAAAAAGCATTTTGAGTTCATGAGATATTAAAAATGCAGCTGGGGTGTATAAATATGTTTAATTCCACATAAGGTAAATTAAACAGAAAATGTTCAACAGCCTCAATTCCACTGATAAGCAGGAAAACAAGAAGTCCCCATGCTTATTTTCTATAATCAGATTTTCAAATACAGCCATGAGATAATAATCAAAATCTGTAATATCAAGCTATGACTGTCCACACTAATATGCAGATGAGCAGCTTCATATCAGCAGCGCCAGTGTTAATCAAAAGTGTACCTGAGGTTGAAAAGCCAGTGGTGGCACAAAGCCTCCTCTATCACATCATTTTAGCTTAGTAATAAACTTGAAGATACTGGACAACAGTCATTGGGTTTCACTTTAATAAAAATATACAAAAGAATTCTGAATTCATAAAGTCCTTTGTTATAATAGTTAAGGAAACTATGACTTTTTTTTTTTTTTTTTTTTTTTGGAGACAGAGTCTCCCTGTCACCCAGGCTGGAGTACAATGGCGTGATCTCGGCTCACTGGAACCTCCGCCTCCTGAGTTCAAGCAATTCTCCTGCCTCAGCTTCCCGAGTAGCTGGGATTACAGGTATGTGCCACCACCCCCAGCTAATTTTTGTGTTTTTAGTAGAGACAAGGTTTCACCATGTTAGCCAGGCTGGTCTTGAACTCCTGACCTCAAGTGATCCGCCCACCTCGGCATCCCAAAGTGCTGGGATTACAGGCGTGAGCCACTGCGCCCGGCAAAACTATGACTTTTTACAAATGGTTCTTTGTTAACTTAATTACTTGCTAAATTCTAAGCATTTCCCACAATTTTATTTTACCCTTTAGGGGAAGTAATGATCAGTATTTTTATCTGGAAATGGCTTCTGTGAAATATGCCACTAGGATTATTATGAATGGGTCTGTTATAAATGGAGTTCTTGATCAACATTTCCTTATTTCTAAAAGCTAAATGAGTCACAACAAAATGAGTCACTTCAACCTTGGTACTGTTCAAAATTCAAAGACAACATTTTTTAAAATCTCCTTTTTTTTACATATAAAGCAAGCAAAGCTCTGGACAGTTAAGACAGTCAAGACCCTAACAGTAACAGAGAAGGCAGAACTGTATCCCAGTTCCCACCTAAAGCTTTCCAAATTCACACTGGCAGTAAAAAGCATTTTCTAGAATAAATTAATTTGACCCAAAGCTTTGAAGATAAAAGGCATTTAGGAATAGGTTCTTAGTATCATGATTAAGCTTTTTTGACAAAGAAGTAATATCTTGTGAAACCACCAAAGTAATCAGGAAGATAAAAATGTGCCAATTCTGTTCTGGGTTTGGTTTGTTTACAGGGTGTGATTTTCATTTTTTTAAAATACACTATTTCGAAAATACGGTATACTAAAAATATACTAAGTCACAGACGCTTCAAACGTTCACCCAAAAAGTTAATAGATTAGGACTGTCAGGCACTGTTCCATGTATTAGAACAGTGTCTTTATTTCTAGTTTTAATCCTGGCATCTGTTTTTTAGAAACATTGGTCTGTTATTACTTAAAGTTTATGAAGTAATAAGAGACCAACGTTTCTGAAAAACAATTTTTGTGAATTAACTCATTTGCTTTCACGAAATCCCCGAAGTAGCTACCAGTATTATCCCATTTTAAAGATGAGGAAGCAGGCAAAAAGAAACTTAATCTTACCAAAAGTTACATGGCTTGCAAGAAGTGGTATTAATATTCAAATCCGCATACATGATCACATTTTATTCTAACAACTATATAATGCAAGCAGGAGAGAAAATTTTGGTCTCATTTTAACTATGAGGGAAACGAATTCCTGAGGAATAAGGGCTGGCTTCCTCAAAGGCATGCAGCTAGTCAGTAACAGGGGTCAAGAACTGCTAGAGACACCTACTGCTAAGGCTGTACTGCTTTTCCATTTGTTCATTTTTGTCTTGGATTCTATAAATCAACGTGTAAAACTCAGTGTAAAGAGTGTGGTCCCGCTAATCACTGAGAAGACACTTCAGGATCCTCTCATGGGATGTGCTGACGACAAGAACATCAATTAGAGCACATACAAAAGTATTCTCACGCTGCCAGGTCACCTTTTTCCATTTTCCTAAATGCAAATATGAGTTTTTTTTCACTTACTGGTAGTTAACATGGGTTCATGTAAATATTGGTCTTTATCTGTATATATGTATATTATTAGTCTGTGTGGCCACTTATAGTCCAATCAAAGTAGGCACTGTTTATTCCAACAAACATTCTAAATAAAATCAAAACTACTGTGTTTTTGCACATTAAGGAGTTAAAAAGTCTTCACTTCCCATTCATCTCCATTTGGGCTGCATGCCCTTCTGTTACACTTCCGGATGTCAGGAGAAACAATAGCTGCCTTTAGTGCCGCACAGCGAACACGGCCCCCACGTGACGGGCACCAGCACTTACTTATTGAATTGAATTGCCAAAAACAGGAAGCAGAGTTGTAAGACCCCTTTCTCAGTTACAGATTGCTAAGACTTGCAGTGCACTGATTTGAACTGTTTCATGTTACTCTGTAAAACTAGAACCAAGGAGTAAAAATTACCTTGGAAATGACAGGGGTAAATTTCGGCTGAATGAAGAAAGAACTTTGTAACAAACTGAGTTGCCCCAAGGTGGTCCACGTTGCCTCTCGGGTGGGTTAAGAAACAGCAGGTCATAATCACAGAGGCTACAGAGGGGGAAGGGCTCAGCAACTGTCCTCTCACAATCCTTCCCTGAGACCTGAGGTCTATGCCCATCCACGGCAAGAACGGGAGCTTCATGGCAGAGCACTGTATGTCACAGGACAGTCTGCAATTCATTTTCTCATTTTATAGGCACTATTACTAAAAGGGGGCTGGAGTGTGGGTGGGGAGAGACATCTTTATTATCCCCATTTTATAGACCAGGAATCTGAACCACTTAGGCTAAATCACACCCTTAGTAAATGCTAGAATATGGGCTCCAATCTAGGGCTTCTGACTCCCCAGGCAGGCCAGTGTATTTCCAGCTAGGCAATACTGCAACAACCAACATAAGATGCCTGCAACCATTATTCTTATTAAGTATCATCTCCCCATATAAAGATCAGGGGCAAGGATGGGCCCCAAAGACTTGAAGCACCGAGGCAAATACCAAAGCAAAATTAGCTAAAAGAAAAATACAGTAAGAGCTCTGCTACTCTCACAAAACCATCCCTTCTACCTGACTAGGAAGAGCTCATTGTATTTTCTGTAGACGCACTCTCTAAGGCTCTATACATGAGTCAACTAAAGGAGTAATTGTCCAAATTCTACTTTACTGTGCTCTACTGATACAACAAGTGCTCGGGGAAGTCTGTCCACATTTTAAGGGGAGTCTGTGGCAGCATACTAAGCACAAAGAGCACTCCTCGTTTCTGCAGCCAAAGCATTAATCGTTGCTCCAGAACTAGGCTGGTGGTAACTTTTTTTTAAAGTCTGAAATGCGTTCTCTGACAACAGGTCCAGGACAACCTCACAATTGTGTCTGACAACAGGAGTTTAACAGAACTGGGTCAGCCACTGAAGGATTGCTGAACTTTGCAAGATTTTCAAGGAAAGACATGAGAGTGTCAAGTTTCATGAACCGTCTACCAAGCACAGAGAGTGGCAGCTTGCCAAAGGCTGAACTGTGTTAAATGCATGTGAGACGCTGGGAACCTGAACCCCAACAATGCCAGCCCTGCCACTCAACCACGGTGGTGAAAGACTGAGGTTCAAGTTTCCAAAGACCTCACGGACTCTAAGCCAAACGTTGCTAATCAGGAAAACGTCCTTTTTCTCTTAAGGAAGGAGAAACTCCTT